CCTTGTCCCCGTCTCTCTCAAACAGCTGTGCCCTCATCCTCCTCTCTCTGATGGCCAGACTCTTGTTCCCCTCTCTGACGGCTGGGTCCTCATCCCCCTCTCTCTCTGATGGCCAGGCAGGCCCTCGTCCCCCTCTCTCTCAGACAGCCAGGCTCTCGTCCCCCTCTCTCTCTGATGGCCAGGCTCTCGTCCCCCTCTCTCTCCGATGGCCAGGCTCTTGTCCCCCTCTCTCTCTGATGGCCAGGCTCTTGTCCCTCTCTCTGACGGCTGGGTCCTCATCCCCTTCTCTCTCAGCTGGTCTCTCTTGGCTTGGTGCTTATCCTCTCCCTGTCTGTTAGGATGGGACCTATACCCACAATTGACCTTCCTCAAAGGCTAGGGAGGGGCATGCAGAGTGGCCAGATGAGGTGGAGCTGACCTGGCCTCTGCACCACCCCTGGACTGTCTCCAACAGCCCCCAGCATCAGCAGAATCAGTTCTGCTTGTCAAAGGTTTGAAGCAGAAGAACCAGTCTGTGTTGTCCCCAGTGTCTGCATTTCCCAAAGAAGGTCAGGGCAGGGTCAATTTTTCTGGGGCTTGGTCAGTGAACACCAACACTGCAGGGCAAGGCTGTCCACTCACTTCTGTCAGGGGTCAGCGGGTCATATGGAGGGCAGGTGCAGACCATAGTTTGGATGGAAACAGGACAAATATTAGGCCTAAGTGACTCTGTGCTGGGAAGGGTGGCAGCTGGAGTGGGAGCACACTCTCTTGTCGCAGAAGGCGCAGGAGCTACTCAGCATTGCTGTATCTTTGCAAGAAAAAGACCAGAAATCTAAAGCCATGCTCACCAACCAGATATCTAACTGCTGCAATTCATACACATATTTTAAAGAGGGGTATGTGGTGCCTGGTAGCAGTCTCTCGCCACACATCTGTAGACAGCCACTTCACCCTGTCCAGCAGGGGGGCAGGAGGAGGACTGGGGTGACCAATGCCCACTGCAGGTTCCAGGGGACCTTGGCATGGAGGACATGTAGAATCTAGCAAATGGCTGTGTGTGTCACTGCCACCACCACTGTCCCCAGGAGTCTGACTGGGGGGAGGGAGGCAGCAGTGCCTGGGGGAGGTGGCTACCTCTCCCGGAGACCCTGGGTGGGTAGGGGGGCTCTGCCTCCCTGTTGCCCACAGCAGCTTCCCCTTCCCCCTTGCAGGTGTCACAGCCACTGTCTCCCTGCTGTCTCCTTCCTCTCCTTTCCTGATACAAAGGCTGTCTGAGTGGGGGAGTGAGCCCGTGGCCGGAGAGAGACCTGAGACCGTGACGGTATGACCCTGGGAATGTGGGAAGAGGCATGAGGGTCTCATCCCTTCAGGGTCTCCCCTAGGACTTACCTTGACAACGTGCCCTAAAAGCCCATCCTAAAGTTGCCAGGCCTTGGGAAAGTGGGAATTTGTACCTAAATGTGCCTTTATTTACAAAATATTCATTATAAAAATTTTACATGGCTGACATGTAGAGAATATTTTTAAATACTTTGTAGAATTTTACAGACAAAGAGATGGCCACGGTGATGGCCACAGTGAGAGACGGCCATGGTGGTGGCGGGATTTGCCCTGATGCTTGAGGCACCAAGTTGAGAGTACATCAGAGGACAGTTTCCATAGCAGGAGGGAGGGTGAAGGACTCAGTGTTATAGAATAAGGCACAAAGGTGCCAATGTAAGTCCATAAAAACTCAGAGGTCCAACGTCTGCCTGACCTGTGAGCTCTGCTCCCCAGACGTCAGCTGGTCACTTGCTATGAACTCGACTGTGCAGTACTGATCACTCTCCCCAGTGTTCATGTAGCAGTTTGCTGTAAATTGGCACCTTTTAAAGTGAATAAACTTATTACAAGGAAAAGTTATGTGGCTGCCCAAAATATGAAGCTAGTATTTCTTGCCATAATGTAGAACCAATAGCAAAAGCAAGCAAACAAACAAATGAAAAGTAAAACTCCAAATGCCCAAGCATGCACACGCAGAGAGACAACCTCAGTGTCCTGGTGCATATCTGCATTTGGAGCAATGATTTCCTACTGGTGTGCCGCGAAACTTTTTAAAGTTCATTAAATTATTTTCGAAAAGAAGTTCAAAGCACAGTAAGTATATTCTTTTTTTTTTTTTACCCTTTTTTTTTTTAAATCAACTTAAGTGTGCTGTGGAAGTTTAACTATAGAGTCAAGTATGCCGTGAGATAAGAAAGGTTGAAAAACACTGATTTAGGGATTTATTGTACTAAGGAGAAGAGAAGTCAGCCAATACAATGGCTGACCTGGAGCTCTCTGACAAGATGCTCTGTGCTGCCAGTGAAGATGTCACCTGGGTTCTGAACCAAAGAGCTTCTGTGCTATTACTCGGGCCACTGCCCATTTCAGCAAATAGCATCTTATCTAGGAGGCTAGGGATAAAGCCTTGCTGTGGGGATGGCAGGTCCCCAGCACACATTCCGAGCCACATGGCAGCCTCACCTGTCAGTAGGACCTGGCCATCTGTACTGACCCAACAGAGACTCTCGGGAAAACCTCACCCTTCCACCTGCACAGCAGTGCATAGCGAACTTACCACTTCTTGGACTTCAGCCGAGGGGCTGGGTTCCGGGGGATGAGGAAGAGGGCTCTCATGGGGTGCATGTCACAGAGAGCTGCAAGAGACAGTACAGGAGCCGCTGCAGTCAGGAGGCCACACCCAGGCCCATCACACATTCACACATGACAGTGAGCATGGGGTCACAGCATCCCAGTGCCCCAGGGGACAGGCATTCAAAGAGCAAGGTCCACTTACAGGAATCCCATGAAAGACAACACATTTCAAGCTGTCACTGTTAGCATTTCTAGAGAATATTCCCTCATGTTTAAGAAAACTGAATTAAAGGGTCAGCGACCAGCCACCTTTGCTGCAGATAATGCCAACTGCTCAACGTAAACATCAGCCAGCAACGACAACAGAGACGGCAAGTCATTTCTAATCAGCAAAGGCCTCAGCCATTAAGTGAAGAATACTTGGTGATCCAGTCTGCTTTATGCACTGAGGTTTCATCCAAACATGTTATCTGCACAGATCTGAAATCCAAATTGCTAGCCCCATGCACCACTCTATTTCCAGACATCCCCAGTGGCTTCTCAGGTTCTTGATGGTTTTTTTTTTTTTTGCAGTTTTTGGCTAGGGCCAGGTTTGAACCTGCCACCTCCGGTATATGGGGCTGGAACCCTACTCCTCTGAGCCACAGGCACCACCCAGTTTTGTTTTGTTTTTAAATTCACTGGCCCCAGGAAGACCAAAAGATTAAGCCAAACAGAGTCTGGCAAAAAAACAAAGTTATAAAAACATCTCAACTTCCAAACATGGCATTATCATTTACAGTGAAAGCACACATACATTTTTATTTTAATCAAAACATTTCATTAGTTTACTTTCAAAACATCTAGGAGAATTTTTTCTTTGTATTTAGAATAAGAATATATGCTCCTTGAAAGCCAGAGGATTCTGTGGGTGGAAGTTTATTTTTAGCCCCATCTCCCACTAATTAAGAATGACAATCTGGTTTTAGGATGGCAATATATTATTGTACTGATGGATACATGCCAATCAGCATTGTGAATGAAGGCAATATTGTCATCAGACTCCCCAAATCAATCACGCTGCAGATGAGTTCCCCAACTGCAGACCGAGAAATAAGAAAACTGTGACAGTGTGATGGTCATGTCATGTGTGTAAGGACCCGTTGTGCAGATGAAGGGCCCATTGTGGTCCTGGTCCTTTGATAATCAGAAGCAGGGTGGTATTAAACATCCAATGATGTTACTGGGAAAATTCCTATGTGAACAGAAATGGGAAAGGAGGCAGGCAGGGAGGGAAGCGTCAGAAAACTGCTATGCAACTCTACCCTGAGTGCAGGGGGAGCACAGGTGGGCGGAAGTGTCCCAAATGGGCCTGCAGGCCAAGGCGGCCCAGCAAAGCCACGCGAGATGGCTTGTGTGAAAGCTGACCAAAGAGGAACCCTGTGTCTTCCAGGAAGGGGTTGGCCTCAGCATCCTTGCTGTGCTGCATCTGGGACAAGGATGGCCCTTGAGAGATGCAGCCTTGGTGTCATGGCTGCAGCCCGGACCTCAGTCAGCCTCATGTCCCTGGGAGCTTTGAGAGCTTGCAGCCACCACACAGCCAACAGAGATGCTTTGCAGGCTAGGACTCTAAATCTCAAGGGCTTTGAAGGTCTCAGGATTGCCAGAGGGTGACCACACCTCCACACCCCTGACACTCCATCTCAAACAAGACCAGGAAAATCTAAAATTCTACAGCAGTGGTTCTCAACATTCCTAATGCTGCAATCCTTTAATATAGTCCAAAAGAGTTGGGACCCACATGTTGAGAATTGCTATTCTACAGGTTGGTTATTTTGAAAGGATTGATAGCAACTGAGTACAGTGTCTGTATAACCTATGTATTGAATACCAGGTTTAAGTTCTCATACCCTGGCGTGTACGGTGTGAGTTTGGTCAGTTTTATGTCAGATGAAGAGTAGTTCAAGAGTAAATTGTGCACTCAGTCTATAAAACAAATAGGACTCTCCAAAGTTTTCTTTTTCTTTTTTTCTCTCCCAAACACAACTCTCACACAGCTCTGCAATGGATGGATTCCTAGTTGATCCAAGGTGACTCTACACTCTAAATATGCAGCTGGATGCTGCAGGGTGCAGTGTGGCGGAAGGTACCAGCAGCTCCTGGCAGAGACCTCGGCACCCCTGGGGTGGGCCCACAGCACCCTATCCCAGGAAGGTACTTACGGGGAGCACCTTCTGCCATCTCGATCGCGGTGATTCCCAAGGACCACAAATCACTCTGGAAAGGAAAGCACAGACACATGGTAAATTCAGTTGGCAAGGACACCATGGTCAAGCCTGGCAACCGCCTCAGCACTGCCCAGGGAGAGCACTCGGTCACCTCTTTATAAACCTATCTCCTGCTGAGCTTCAAAATAGAAATAGCCTCATTTACTTCTTGTTGACAGACCAGTCATGGTGCTTGCACATGGTAAATTATTCAATGAATGTATTAAAAATGAATATAAGATTTTAAAAGTTAATTCATCACTGAAATTTATCTGCCAATTGAATATAAAATTGCTGCTATTCAACTCATGCCATCATTGAACTGTAGTTGTCATATAATAAACTGCCCATATTTAAAGTGTGCGATTAGCTAAAGTGTGACACAACACATTCCTGTGCACCTGTCACCACAGTCCAGACGGTAAACACACCCAGCACCCCCATGCCCCCTTTGCCCCTGTAGTCCCTCCTCCTGTCCCCAACTCTGTTCCTGTCCCTAGACAGCCACCGTCCTCTCTGGCACTGTATGATCTGTCTGCATCTTCCAAGGTTTCCTGTAAATGAACTTGCCCGACACATGGGCTTTTGTGTCAGTTTCTTCCACTGTGCGTGGTGTTTTGGGTCCATCGTGTTGTAACAGGCCCTGATATCCCTGTCGTGGTTCACTCTGTGGACCTTTCACATTGTGTTTTTACACCTACTCATCAATGGATGTGTAGGCTGTATCCAGCGAGTTGGGCTGTGGCACAGAAAGCTGCAGCAAACATTGCCACACAGACATTTGGGTTTATCTTTTGTTTATTTTAAGTAAATAGTCAGGGGTAAGACAGTTGGATAATACTAGGTGTTATTTATTTTCAATTGCTTTTAACCTATAGAAATAGCAATTTCACATGATCCAACCTAGTGAGCTGGGGACAGGGAGGGTTTTATAGTGGTGCTCACTGAGTGACTCAGAGCTTAGGACAAAGGTGTTTGTTGAATAGACATATGAGAGAACCTTCCATCCTGTAGACAGGCTAATATGTCAACAGAGGTCCTCATATACTCATACCCTTTCTTATGCTCATAGGGACTTTTATGCCCATCTGAGAATTTTCTCAGCCAATCCCTCCACCTGCATGATCTCTGTCTCCAACAGTACGCTTTCCCCACTGTCTGCCAGTGACTCAGCTGTTCCTAAATACTGCAGGTGGAGGACATATCAATAAATGGGGAGAAACAGCCAAGAACCCCCAGATTCTTGCTGACTCAGTTTCCCCTTGTCCTGATGACACAAACTGTCGCTTGCCTCTCCTTTGCATTATGTACATTATTTGAAATTCTCACCTGTAGCCTCACTCAGGTTAGAGAGATCAAAGTTGAGTTTTCTTTGCTATTCTCACCAAACTAATGTCAAGGCCATGTGACAAAGAGACTCAGCTGAAGAAACATGGGATTCATGCTGAGGAATTCCCTTACTGTACCCCCTCAGTCCTGTGAGTGACCTCGGGCCACAGCAGGTGTCTGGGGCACACCCAACCTCACACTCACAGACTCAAAACATCAATAGTCCTTGGTTTAACCAGGAGTAACAAGGTGCCCTCATGGCACCCTGCCCTTGTGCTCCTGGCCACTCCTCTGCACCCAGCTCACAGAGGTAACACTTGTCCTTCCCAGATATATTCAAAGGCTTCCTTTACCCCCCCGACCCCACCAGTGTTTGCTGTTCCTGGCCCTGCTCAGAGAGATCATCTCCACGCTGAGGGGCTGGCTCAGCTCCTCCCAAGGCTGCTGCTGACACCAGCAGTGAACACTCAGCCCTACTGCACCTGAACTCTGCAGGTGACACAAACACCCAGTCGCTCCCACACAGAAGGTACCAAACAGGCACAGTGAGGGCAGTCTGGAGGTGGGGTGGGGGTGCAGAAGCTCACCGCGCTGCTCTGAGAACCCTCCAAGGTGCCAGGCACTCTGGTTCTGTCCCTGTCTTCTCAGCACCCCTAGGAACTGCATGTTTCTATAGCCAGAATGGGGCCTGAGTGTGACAGGGGTAACTCTGCTGGGCCCTCTGCCCCTAACTGCCACATGGGCTCAAAAGTCAGTGACCTTCAAACTCAGGCAGCTTTAGGCTGGTATGAAATCCAGCACCTCTGGAGGAAAATGAGTGCCCGGGGCCAGGCCTCAGGTGGGCTGTGCAATGCCCTGCAGACCCCACAGCTGTGCTGCACCCGCCCTTTCTGTTCACCTCCCATTCCCACCCACACTCTCACCCCTGGCAATGCTCCCTCTCTTCCCCTTCCTACAGGTGCCCCCTCAGAAACATCTGTGCACCACCGATGGTCTGTGCCCCCTGCCACCAGTAAACACAAGAACACTAGGCCATGGTGGGACCTGTGCTCGCTGCTGCTGTGTTCTGGGCACCTGGAACAGGGTCTGGCACACAGCCCGCCCCTTACAAGGCTTTGCTGGATGAAGGACAATGAGGGATGCACAAGAGAAAGGAGCAAACCCAAGTGTCCTGGCTCCTGTGGGCCAGTCCAACCTCCTGGTTCATAGACCACAGCCGCTCAGCACCAGCGATACACACAGCCAGTCTCCTCCTCCTGGGGACGTGGTATTCACCGTGTCATTTCTTAGCATAAAGTAGCCACCCCAGATTCCTGGTTTGTCTACAAGTGACTGAACCTGCTGAGATTCGGCGAGGCAGCAACATGCTGATTTCTAGGCGCAACAGGGACTGGCAGACAGGGAACAGGCTTTTCCACTAGACAGATGTGGATGCAAACTCAGGTTCCCAGGTTGGGAACGTGCTGAACACACTCAGCTGAGCATTCCCAGCTGCACAGCACGGTCATGTGACTCGCACACGTTCACCCAGGCACCGGGCACACACTGGGCTCAAGAACACTAACGCCCTGTCCTAGCCCTGTCTGCCTGGTACCCTCTCCTCTGACCCCTCCATTTGGCCATGGCAGATACTGCTTACTGCTGCTGGGTAGGAATCTTCAACCCCTATCTTTCTTGTTGCTCCATTTCAGAGAACAGGACAACTACACTTGCCACACTCAAGGGCAACTACACTCTTTCACACTCAGGGTGGCAGTTAGGGATGGGACGTGGTCTGGCCAATGAGACATAAGAAACATGTTTGGGGAGCTTCTACTTCTGTTGAAAGAAGGAATATATGGTGTCTTGCTAACTTTTCCCTCCTAAAGCCTTGACTAAAAGTGTGGTAATATGATATCTGGGCCTGTAGCATCCATTTTGCAACCATGAGGCAATAAACCAACAAATTCAGGACAACAGGGCAGGCAACTGGGGACCTGGGCTTCTGCCTCTTGATTTCTGGTGATGTGAGACACACAAGTGCGTCCCTGAGTGATGAGAATAAGACACAGGCAGCAATAACTCAGGGAGTGTGTTTAGGCAGTAAGAAAATGCAGAGGTCTCCCTTGTCATCCAGGATGCAGGAGGGTCGGGAAGAGGTGTTCCTTTCACTCAGGAGACGCTGTCTCAGAACCCCAACCAGCAGCCTCCCTCCATCTCCCCCACACTCCTTTTGAACAAGAGCCACTACCTGCTCCCTGTCCTATCACGTGACTGCACAGACACTGCTGCTGCTCTAGGCCTCATTTATCAGGTTATTTTGTTTTATGTTTTTTTCCCCCAGGGTTCTCCAATTTTCCAAAAGGAACATTTATACTCCTGGCCATGCACACCCATAGCTTTCTGTAAGCTGTACCTAACTGCCTGTGCTGGGAAGACATAAATGTTCTTTTCAGGCCTTATTTAGGCCTTTAGATACTTAAACAAGTTGCCCCAAATCTGGAAAGCTTAAAGACAGGAGAAAATGCAGCCATTGCAACTGGCAAGACAGCTCACAGGAGACAAGGGAGGGAAGAGAGAAGTTTCCTTTGTGGTCACTCTGTGACTCACTGGGCAGGTGCTGAGCTGTCCTGCACTCCAGAGAAGCTGTGTGGCCTGGCCAGTGCCATGACTAATGACCCAGCCCATCACACTGTGGACAGCACAGAGACAAATCCTAGCACCTCTGAGAGGGCAGAGGCAAGATAGCTCACAGCTGGGGACGGAGGGTGGGACACCAGCACAGCAGCGACCTATATGTGATGGGAGCGGCCCTTCCAGGTAGGCTGCCAAACTGGTAAAGGAAATATGGTGAAGTAAAAAACATGAGGAGATAGAAGCATGGCTTAGGAGAGAGAAGAGCAGCTCAGGATTGAGAATTGTGGCTCAGGAGAGAGAGGAATGGCTCAGGAGAGAGAAGCATGCACAGAAGAACCCACGTGTGCTGCAGCCAGACAGTGTGTGTGCCATGAGTGCATGCCCTGGGCTGGACTCAGCTCTGACAACTACTGGCTTGACTTGGGGCAAGACACCCAGCAGCTTTGAGCATATCTTCTCAGCTGTAACGTGAGGCGTACATGGGTCTTGCAAGCTTGGTATGAGAGCTCAGTGAGATCATACATGCCATATGCCTGACACATGATGTGACGCACACAGTGTGGAGTTAAAGGCCATGCAGACACACCCAGGTCAAGCAGGACAGCGCCTAGCCCAGTGCCTGGTGGCCCTTTCAGGGTCCCCAGGATGATGGAGGAAGGAGACCAGAAATGCTGCGTCCTACTTCCTGCCCCCCTCTGCCTCCTGCCTCTCCTGGCAGAGCTGGCACAGGGCAGCAGTGGGTGTGGGTGGGTCCTGGCTCTGTCGTCACAGAGTAGAGGGAAGTGGCATCCAGGGCACAGACCAGAACTTACCAGTGGGTCCGGCCAGCAGAATGTCCTCTATCAATTTCATGGACCAGAAAATAGGCTGTCCTTGGGTAACATATTTGTGGTTATTCTTTTTGAAATGTTATAGCAGGACAAAGGAACTGTACGCATCCTGTGGGGCCCCTAAAGACAGCGTGTTAATCTAGTGGTAGATGTTACAGAAAGTGGCTGTGGCCCAACGTAGGTGGATTAGAGACGTGGAACATAACCATGTGGCTGGACCTTGTGCAATTATTGG